AACGCTTCTCCCTAAGTGCCCGGAACATCACAGAGCCACTCTGCTCCCTGGATATTAGTTGGCCCCGTGATGCCACCCATGCCAGGTGCATGGATGGGGAGCCCCTGGCCCAGAAGGCCTGTGACCAAGGCCGGTCTCATCCCCACCCCCACATCCTGCATGGAGCAAGGGTGGTCCTCCCTGGTGTCACCCCTTTCTGGTCCCAGGGCTTGGGAATGGGAGGGCAGGGGTCTGGCCCTCAAGCCTTGAGGCACCTGCCTGTGGCCCCTATCATGGCCCCATATCTGCAGCTACGAGCTCTGCGAGTCGCCCAAGCTGAGCCAGGCTAATGGGACCCCGGGCATCGTCCTGGCCCCACGGAGCCACGATGGAAGCCCCAGTCCTGTCCACAGCAAGGGAGCTGGTGAGGGGTGCTGGGCATGAAGTGAGGGTGGCGGGGTGCCCACACAGCTCAGACATCAGGGCAGGCCTCTGCGGGAGGCGGCAGCTGAGCCAAGGCTGGAAGCCTGGGGAGGGGCATGCAGGCCGGAGAGGGGTGGGGTCTGTTGGTGCTGCGTTCCACCGTGGGCTGGGTTTGGGACTGGGTCCCCAGGTGCAGAGGGTGCCCAGGGACCCTGGCAGGGACCTGATCACTTCCTCCCTGCAGACACCCCAGAGCCACCCGAGGCCACACTCTCACCCGTGTCCATTGACTCGGCCACCAGTGCTGACACCACACTGGACACGACAGGAGACGTCACGGTGGAGGACGTGAAGGATTTCATGGGGTGAGGCGGGTGGGCAAGTCCACAGGAGGGGCTCCCCTGGCTCCCCAGCCTCCCTCCCCTCCCCTTCAGCCAACCTTAAGTCCAAGCTGGGCATGGAGGACCAAGGAGGGGCCAGACCCCAGACCGTCTGATCACAGCCCCTTTCCCCAGCTCCTCAGAGGAATCGGAGAAGAATCTGAGGAACCTGGCGGAAGACGAGGCTCGAGCCTGTGCCATCCTGATCAAATGAAGTGCTGCAGGTGTGCCGGGCCCTGGGTCCACCTGGTCCTCACCGCTCAGCCTTGACCCCTTGGGGCCCCCCAGCCCTGGTCTCCCACCTGAAATCCTGGCAGGCCCCTCGAGGCCTGGCTTCCTTCCAGAGATGTCCCGGCAGGGGCTTCAGGGACCCACACAGACAGGACTTTCATAGTTTGGTATTACAAAAATGGCCAGCTTCTCAGTTCCTGGATGTCATGGGGAGGGGAGTTTGGAACAAGGCCAGACCAAAACTTAGAGGTGGTGGCAGCTTGGGGCTCAGTGGCTGGTTGGCCCACTTCCGCAGATGAGATCACCTAGGCATATGAGGTCGGGCCCTGCCAGGTGAGCCCCAACGGGGCTGGCCAGTTCCCGCTCCAGGCCCAGGATGGCCTCCTGCCTGGGTCTGGGGCGTGTGTCTCCCCAACCTGTTATGTACCGAGTGCCCCCGCCCACACAGCCTCGCCCTGCACCAGGTACAGACACCCCAGCTCTCTATCTTTTGCTGGGGTCACCACTGCCCCCTCCCTGGCTACGTCCTGGGCTGGATGTGGTCAGTGCTTGGAAACTTGGCAAGCCCACCTCAGGCTGTCACTGCAGGGTCCTTGCCCCTGGATGGGTTGAGTGGTTTTTTGGCCTGCCCTGGAGGCACCTCTGGGTAAGGCCACCTGCCTCTTTGGGCCTCCCTGGCCTTCTGCTGACCCCTCTTCTCTTCCTCTGCCAGGAAAGCCAGGACTACCCGGCCACTACCTGCCCTGCTCGGAGCTGGGGTCTAGGACCCCTGGCTCCTGCCTGGCCCTTCCCTTAGACCCACATCTGCTAACCTGTGGGCTCCAGCAGGACCTGCCCACTCTGGCCCCAGGGCAGCCCAAAGGCGTGGGCCTGGGATTCTGCTCAGAGCCTTTGGGGTGGGATCAGACTGGCCTCTCCCACAGGCAGTGGGCTCCCCCGGAGACCAGGTGCTGTGCAGGGAGGACAGCTGAGGCTGGCAGCCTGTGTTGCCTCCTACTCCACACGCCATCCTTCCCCCCTCTCTTTGCAGAGTATTTTTCTAACGCCTGTGCCTGGCTGGACAGTCATTTCTAAAACAACTATTTTGGTACTTGCCCCTGGGCCAGCACTCCCCACCCCCAGCCTGTGCACGAGTGTGAGTGTGTGTGTGTGTGAGTGACTGGGAGCTCTGCCAGGACTGGGGCCCAGTCAGGTGTGTTTGGGGGTGGTGGGGGTTAGGATGGATTTCCCTGTAGATTGTACCTTGGGTCTTTTTTTTTTTCCTGTCATTTTGTTAAAGTTAGTGCTGTTTTAATATTAAAAATACTGATTTTTAATACTGAAAATAAAAGCATTTAATATCTCTTAAAGGGCAACCACATCTGTTTTCTCCCTGGCACGGGAGAGGATGTCACACGAGAGCTCACACTGGAGAGAGTCCAATTTCCCAGCCCTCGGGGGCCACTGGTTAGGGTTACCCCCGTTGGTGCTGCTTGGGCTGTGCTGCTGGGGACCATGGCACTAGGGAGTGATCAGAGCAGGGGCTGCCACTTGCATGGACAGGCAGGCCCTTCCTCTCCCTCACCCAGAGCTGGGGTGCCGGGGGGGCGCTGTAGGCTGGGGTGCCGCCCTAGGCCAGGGCCTGGCGGAAGGTGCTCCAGGCGTGGAAGCAGCGAGTGAAGGCGTGCTGCTCGTTGCCCTTGCGGACCAGGCGCAGGCGGCGGGGACGCTCGTGCTCTTTGGATCGCATGTGCTGGATGTACACCTGGCAAGCAGGACAGCGTGTGAGCCTTGGGCAGTCCTCCCAGACACCAGCCCGGCCTCAGCCCTCCCCTCCACGGGGCTCACCTGGCAGGCCTTCAGACTCAGTTTGATCTCCACCTGGCTTGTCTGGGTCCCCACCCACATGTAGACCTGTGGGGATGGCAGGGGAGGTGGTCTCATGGGGGACCTGGGGACACTCCTCCTCTCCCAGCTTCAGAACGCCTGTCCACGGATGGGTAGGCTCTTTGAATGGGCAGGGTCAGCAGGGTCTCACCTCTTGGCCGTTGTCTAACAACATGATGTCATCGTCTGCCAGGTCATCTTGGCAAAAGTCAGAGCATTTCTCAGTCACTGCAAAGTAGCCCTTCTCGTTGGAGCACCTGGGGTCAAGGGTCAGGGAGAAGCTGAGGGTCATAAGCAGCAGTGCCAAGACTAAGGAGGAAGCTGGGGTGGGGGTCGGGCCTGCCTCACCGAAAGAGCCGGGTGTGCTTCATGTATTCAGCGTCATCGTCATAAGGCTTCTGTGCCCCGATGCCCACCCAGAAGAAGTTCTCGGGCTCCTCTCCTTCGTTGATGACCTGTAGGAAAAGAGTCGGTCCCAGCCCCAGGCCCTGTCTGTCCTCACCAGGTTGCCCACTGCACGTCCCAGTCACCTGCTTGCTGTAGGCGGCGTCAAACATGGTGTTCAGGATATCCTCTGCCAGCTTGGCCTCGTCGGGATCCGACGCCCGGCCCACCCATGCATACATGATGCCCTGGTTGTCCTCACTCTCAAAGGGAACCTGGGAGCGTGCAGGGGGTTCGGGTCAGGCCAGCCTACAACCCACCACCCTGACCCACAGTCCTGGTCACACCCACCACCCCACCTTGAGAATGAAGCAGAACTCGGAATTGAGAAGGCTGGAGTCAGTGTTGATCTGAATGCACCTGGAGGAGGGTGGGGTGTCAGCAAGGAGTCATCGACCCGCCTGCCCGCCCCGCGACCCCTCCCCTGCAGCCAGGCACCGGGTGCACAGGGCGCTGCCGTTGGTGCGAATCTGGTAGAGGCTGGGTTGCAGGGCGCCCTGGGCTGCCTTCCTCTTGCCCCGGTGGATGATGAACTTTCTCTTGAAATGGGACAGGAACTTGGGGTTCTCCTGCTGCTGTGTCATGCGCACCACCTGGGGGCGTAAAAGTGTCAGGCCCACCTCCCTGGACCCCCACCCTGCCCATCGCAGGGCAAGCCTCCCCTGGGTCTGAGTCCCAACCCCCCGAGGCTGAGGGCGTGGCCCTGCGCGGGGGTGGGCGTGGCCAGCGCACCTCCAGTTTGCCCGGGAAGAGGCTCTCGAACTTCTTCTGCAGGCTGAAAGTGAAGGTGAGCCAGCCCATGTTGGAGGCTTCGCGGCCCTGCCAGAAGTACACGATGCACTGAAAGTCCTCCTCGGGCTGCTTCTCCTCCGCCTCGGCTGCCGCCGCCTCGCTTTCTTTGCCCTCGGCCCCGGCCCTCTCCTTCTCTTCTTTCGTCTCCTCCTCCTCCTCGTACTCCACGGGGACCCAATACCTGCGGGGTCAGAGGGCGGTAAGAAGAGCCCCCAGCAGCAGGGGAGGGGCCAGGCGAGGGAAGCACACTGAGGCGGCACCTGCAGAGGAAGACATAGCAGTCCTGCGTGTAGAAGTGGCCGAACTCCTCCTCGGGCAGCCGCGCGAACTTCTTGCCCTCGAGCACGAAGCCCTCCATGCCGTCCAAGTCCTCGTTCCACTCCTCCATCAGCTGCTCGGCCTGCATGTTACCGTCACTCGTTGGCCCGGGCCGGCCCCTCCTCACCGCACAGGGACCGGCACAGTGGCTCCTCCCACAACAGGTCCCATCACCGCCCGCCAGGGCCACGTCCTCCAGCCCCACCTCTAGGCCCGCCCACCTCCCAGGCCCCGCCTCTGGCCCCGCCCAGGCCGCAGGCCCCACCCAGGCGCCCCTCTAAGCCCCGCTCATCTCACAGACCCCCTCTTGGCCCCGCCCACCTCCCAGGCCCCGCCTCTAATCCCCGCCCACCTCCCAGGCCCCACCCAGGTGCCCCATAAGCGCCGCCCACCTCGCGCCCTAGGCCCCGCCCTCCCCAGGCCCCGCCCACCTCGGCCAGCGCCATGTGCGGCTGCCGCGGCAGGAAGAGCGCGGTGAGGTCAGCCTTCATCTGATCTTTCTTTTCGGCGTCGCGCTTCACCTTCCCGGCGAGTCCCGGGCCCTGCAGCACAGCCTCCGCGTTGCGCGTGTAGTCCACCATCAACACGTCGTCCCAATTCTTGAACTTGGCCTTGAACACCTGCCGAGGGGACGTGGAGTGGGAATTGGGCGTGGCCAAGGCGGGCGTCAGAGGAGGTCCGGAGGCGGGCCCCAGGAGCCAGAGGTGGGAGTGGCGAGCCAGAGGGGGCGGGGCCCGGCGGCAGTTCCGGGAGGTGGGGGCGGGAACGGATACAGAGGGGCAGGGCGTGAGCGGTCCGCGGGACCCCGGGAGGCGGCGGTGGCCGCACTGCGCACCTGCGCCTCGGTGCCCTCGAGGCTGCGGCTGACCGTGGCGTGGCGCGGCCGGTGCAGCATCCCGCACAGCTCCTGGCCCAGCTTGAGGGCGGCGGCGCGCACCAGGCGCGGGGACTTGCGGCCGAGCCAGATGAACACGTCAGACCAACAGTCCAGGATGTACACGCAGCGCGTGTCCAGCAGGCTCTGCAGCTGCGGGGCCGAAGGCTGGAGGTCAACGCCGGGGCCGCGCCACTGGGGAGGGGTCGCGGCCCCCTCGCCCTCCTCCCTGTGTGTATGTCTCACCAGCCGCATCCTGGGCATCAGTTCCACCTTGGGCCGCTTCTTATGTTCCACAGACAGCTTGTAGTTGATCTGCGGCAGCTCCAGGTAGCCCAGACCCAGGCCCACCTGGCGGAGGAAGAGGTGGACGTGGCAGGGAGGCGGTCTGGGGACATGAGCTCCACCCACAACAGCCCCTGATTTGGCGTGTGGCCCCTGCCCTGCTGTGTGCTCTCAGCTGCACTGCCTGCTCCTCTCTGGACCCGTTTCCTTCCTCCACCCACAGGTGTTTTAAGGGCATCCTGTCAGTGGAGGGGCTTTTAAACGGTGCTTTCCTTGCCTGCCCTCCTCAGGTCCTTACTGTCGCTTCTAATTCTCTAACTTGTCCTTTTCCTGCTCATAACACCCATGGCTTCCCATCACCTACAGAATTAAGGCAAGGTTCTCAGGCCTGGCACCCAGGCACTTCTCAGCCTCACCTTCTGGAAACACACAGCCCAGCACTGTTTCTCATGGCCCCACCCAGACAACTTCCAGATCTTTGCTGGGGCTACTCCCTGTCCAGAAGGTGGCAACCACTCCACACCAAAGTCCAGATGGAACCCACAGCCACCACAGTGATGCGTGGCCCATTCCCCCACCCTGACTGCCCTGCACCCCAGCTCACCTTATACAGCTTGGGCTGGGGGGGCCAGAAGTCATCAGGCACATGCTGCTTGATCTCAGAGGGCTCTCCGCCCAGCACCTCCCAGAACTCTGGGGGCTCCTGGCCCTGCACCATCAGCGTGATCTCTGCCTTCCCTTTCCGCTCGTTCTTGTTAATTTTCTCTGCAAAGAGCCTGAGGGCAGGTGCAAAGCCCTTAGTGAGGCCCATTCCCCTTCTTCGGTGATGATTTTTCTTTGCACAAAACACCCCACCACGTCTGAGCGGAACAGTCCTCATACCTAGCCTTGGTGGTGCTACTCAGTGTGGCCTGGGCTCCCCGCCACACGTAGATGTCCAGCCCTCGGTCCAGCAGGAAGACAAACCTGGACAGGAGGGGCAGAAGGGGCTGTGACAGGCATGGGCACTGATTGCCCCCATGCCCCTGACCCCACCCCAAATCCCTTCTGATGGAGCTGTAGCCCCCCTTGCTGGTCCTTCCAAGGTCTGTGGGACAGGGGTTAAAGGGGCTGCTGGTGGCCTCTTCTTCTAGAGCCCAAGCTGCCCCTCCCTGGTGGGAGAAGGTTCAGGGTCCAGCACCCCCACCTCACATCATGGGGGCTCACCTCGGGTCCAGGGAGGCCCCCTTGAGCGGCACAGGCTCCAGCTTGACGTTCTTTTTCCCATACACACGGTACATCCTGGGGGCCGGAGCAAGAGTGGCTGGGTGGGGGCACCAAGGGCCAACTGACCCTAACACCCTCCCCCCAATCCTTCCCAGCTGAGTCCAGGTCAGTGCCACCCCCCCACACCCCCTCACCTGGTGACATAGTGCGTGTCCTCCACAGTGTAGAAGCCACTGGCTGTTCCACCCTCGATGTAGGAGATGTCGTTGTCAAATACCTGTGTGTGAGAGTGCGGGCCTCATCACTGCTGCCCCCCGCCCCCAGTACACCTGTCCAGAGGGGACAGCATTGTGTACACTGCATCAGGGGCTACAAATCCCTTATGAAGTTAAAAAAAAGAATGAGATCTGTGTCTATAAATGTAAACACATTCTGGAGTGTAAGGAGGTACAAACATCAGTGTCTGTAGATACACACAGCACGTTTAGATAAGCATGTATCAGGCTACGGGAGCAAGCAGGCTGACGAAGAGGCAAACCTGGATGAGTCGGTACAAGGGGATGTGGGGGTGTCTACAGGTAGCCAGCTAGCCGCCGGGCCAGCACAGCTCCCTAGCCCTTCTCAAGGGACTCAGGTGCCCTTGGCCCTGCCTCCTTGTGCCTGCTGGTGGCCCCGCCCCCTAGCTGCTATGGGCCCCACCTCCCCATCTCTCTCCTGGCCTCCGCTGACCCAGCCTCCCGACCTTTGGCCTCATCTGGCTCCCTTGCCTTCACCCCAGTTGCCCTCCTGTTGCTTTAGGTCCCCGACCTCACGACCTGTGGCCCCGCCCCCATCAGCCTGCCCCTCCCCCCACCCCCAGGCCCTTCTGGGGTGGCACCTGCAGGAACTCCTCGCTCTCATCGCCCATCTCCTCCCGCACGGTACGGCACTCGGCGCCCAGGTAGTTGCGCAGGTTCACGGCGTGGATGGCAGAGCAAGCCTTCTTGTCGAGTGTGGCCTCCCCGCCAATCCAGTAGTAAATCTCCCAGTTCAGAGAGCCGCTGTCATCGAGAAAGGTCTGGGACCCAGGTCACGAGCTACGTCAGCCTTCACCAGGAAGTCTTGGCTTCCCAGCTGCCCCCAGAGAGGCTGCTCTGACGGGCACCGGCCCCCCGGCCCCAGGATGGGCTGCACGGCCACACCTCCGCCTGGGTCTCTCCACCTGTCCTCCGCAAAGTCCTCCCTGCACCTCCCTCAGTGAACAAGACTGTGCAGCGGGGGATTCTGAGCCATCTAAGAAGAGGCTGTGGGGGTCATGGAGCCCCCACAGCTGCCCAACCCTCACCTTGAGCACGATGTAGCAGTCGGCCTCATAGAACTTGCCATGGAAGGCTTCCTCCACCAGCACGGGCACGAAGTTCTCGATCTGCCAGATGGTCAGGCCAGGCAGCTGGCCCACGTCCTCCGTGAAGAACTCAGAGTAGTCGAGGCGCGGCTTCTCCAGGCCCTGGTCCCAGCGCCGCACCTTGCCCCCGGGGGCTCGCGCATCAGCGCTCTCCTGGAGGCACAGTCACAGTGCGTGGATGACTGCAGCGACTCAGGCTGGTCTCTCTACTGGCTACCCACCGCAGGGCCTTGGCATGGGCTGCTCTCTCTGTCTGGGGCCCCTCTCCCTCTCAGCCTGGTTCACACTGTCTTGAGCAGAGCCCAGGGCCGCCTGCCCTGTCCCAGGCCCGGGCCGGGCTTACCTCCTGCTTTTTGTTCTTCTCCTGGGCCACGTCTGACATGCCCTTTAACACCTGCTTGGCTTGGTCATCCTGGGCTGAGTCCTTGCGCCTCCGCAGCCGCATCTTTCGAGCCAGGGGGTCCTTGGGCCCGCTCCCTGCTTAGGGGAGGGGCAGACAGCTGAGCCCTGGCTGGGCCTGCCTGCCTCCTGGGGCACCCAGCCAACCAGGGGCCAACTCCATCCCCCAGGGCCCAGAGAGCTGTGTCCCACCCAATTCAAGATGGGTAAGTTGTGGCCCAGAGAGGAGCCCCCGACTCCCAGGCCAGACCTTCCCCTGCTCACCCGCTGCTGCTGCAGCCACTGTGGCAGGGGAGGCGCCCGCCAGCCGTAGCTGGTTCTGCAGCGAGAAGTCAATGTTGTACCACTCGGCGGCACGGTCAGCAGGCTTGGGAGGCATGACCAGGCTGGGGTTCTCCCGCACGTCCAGGACCTGCCTCGTGGGGTGAGCAGAGCTGGCACTGAGCCTGACCCCGTCCCCCAGCCACCCCAAATCCAGCTTCTTGCTCCTTGCAGCCGCCCAGGGCTGGGGTCAGGGGGCTCTCATCCCAGCTCTGCGGCTGCCCCTTGTGGGCTGGGTTTCCCCATCTGAACTGTAACCGCGCAGGCTGGCTGTGGGGCTTAAATGACGCTGTTGAGCGTGATATGGACGTAGGGACGTGGTTCTCCTTCTCCCCAAAGGCCCCCTGGCACTGGCCAGCCCTCCAGGAGGCCTCTGCTGGGTCTCCCTCACTCCAAGGACACAGC